CCGCCGACGACGACGACGCCGACGACGCGTCTCGGGACGATCGACGCGCGCGGCGTCGGCCCTCGGCGACGGCCCTCGGCGACGGGGGCGCGCGCGCGGGCGTCCCGAGACGGGCGTCCCTCCGACGACGAGTCGTGACTCGTGAAGAAACCGAATCGTCGCGAGATCGCCCTCTGGGCGCGCGCGCGGGCGCGCTCGGCGGTCGACGATGCGACGGGTGTCGTCCATGCCGACCCTGGATGAGGGCGACGCGCGGTGTGATGCGTCGGAGACGTTCGCCGGGGCGGCGGCGGCGGCGGCGGCGGCGGCGGCGGCGGAGGCGCGCGGCGACGCGGAGGCGGAGGCGGAGGCGGAGGCGGAGGCGGAGGCGGAGGCGGAGGCGGAGGGAGATCGAGCGCCCACGGTGTTGGTCGTGGACGATTGCGCGATGAATCGAAATTTGGTGCGTGGGGTGTTGATGAGCGTGTTCTCGCGCGTTCGCGTGGAGACGGCGGAGGACGGACGGGAAGGGATTCAGAGGTTTGAGGCGCTCGCGCGGGACGGCGACGTGGCGCTCGTGGTGATGGACTATAACATGCCTTGGTGCGACGGTGTGACGGCGGCAAAGTACGTCAGAGCGTTAGAGGATCGAATGATACGATTGGCGCTCGAGCGCGATGCGTCGCCGCGACATCGAGTGCCGATCGTGATGTATACGACGGAGCTGCACGTCATATTGCCCGCCCTCGTGGACGGCGTCATCGACGACCGTCTGCCAAAGGTGTGTTCGAGGGATTTGTTCTCGAGAGTCATGCTTCGACACTTGGCGCCTAGACACACGCGATTCGTGAAACCGGAATGGCGAGGAATAGATGAGCGAATGATGAGGTTCAGCTGCAACGACGCGTTTAACGTGGAGTTGGATCCTCGAGGCGTCTCGCTCGCAAACGACTCGCTCGCAAACGCCTTGACGACGCAAAGTGGGAAGAAACGCGTTCGCGGTCGATTGAATGCGTTAACCAACTCCTCTCGATGGAGTAAGATGTTGAAGGGAGTCGACGGGGACGTGATCATCTTGCAAGACAGATCGATGGAGGCCTCAGGTGCGGAGTCGCGCACCAGTCGCGGATTCGTCAAGCGGCTCACTCGGTCGTTCAGGGCGTTCTTCACATCCGCGCCGACGGCGCGAGCGAAAATGAAGGAGGTCAAGCGCGCGGCGCTGGCGAAAAAGTTCAACGCCGACTTTGACAACTCCAACTCAAGCGCGCACGGGGAAACTATGCGCGCTCCAATGTACTCGCAGTTGGCTAATGTCGCTCTGCCTAGGTATTCATATTAATGTGCTGTAAGTATAATTTTGAGAGAGATAACATACATAATATTACACGGCGCGCACTCAGTGCAACAGTTTGTGCGGGAGCAAGGTTTCATCGATCATCGTCTTTGTTGTGTCGTCAAGCGTTCCGGCAAACGTGGCGCGAACAACGGCGGCTTGTCTTTTTCTAAGTGCGTGTTTCGCGGTACGCTCCTCTTCGAGCGTCTTCGCCTCGGCAATCGTCATCGCCTCGAGTTTATCGTACGAGGGCACTGTGCTCGCTTCTTCGTCTTCCGCATCGCTGAGGTTGACGATTTCAATCTGTCCTTGTCGCTGAACGTGAACGTACGGCGACTCCGAGCTCAACCTGTACGTGATATTATCGCTACCGGTCGGAATTTTTTCTGTCATTGACTCATCCGCATCGGGCCAAAGCCAGGTACCGATAGCATCGCTTGCACCTTGATTGCGGAGTGCGCCCACCTTTTTGTCGAGCTCCGACTCAATTGTGACGTGGCGCTTTTGCGCTCCGTCAGAGTGCAGCGCTCGCGCGACTCTGACTTTGAAGCTCTCAATATTATCAAGCGGTTGCGTCTCACTCTTATCAGGAGCGGCGACGATGCCGTATCCATCTTTACCTTTCACGAGCCATTTGCCAGATGCCGCCGCCTCCAAGTGACTAGAAACGTACGGCATGCACGATTTTGCACGATACGTCGACCTAGCGCCACACTCCGATAGCATCCGGGCAATATTCAAGCGCACGCTCATAGTGCTCTGGTACGCACTCTGAGACATTTTCCATAAGTCCACATCCGTACCCCAAAGGTATAGCACACTGCCATGCCTCAACCGAGCGTCCGCACCGGTACGAACGTCCACGGAGTCGAGTGAAATAGACGTTGGATCAGCTCCCTCCATGAGCATGTGTTGAACAATGCGCTCACACCCTAGTTTTCTTGACTCGGCGCGAATAGCCGTAGTGACGGCCCACATCAACGGGTAGCTGCGCATTTTAATGGATGTTTCCGGATTTATCACTAATCCATCATCCAAGCGCTCCTGCATGACTGACAAATCGCCGTCGTCGTACCGCTTACGAAGCTCTTTGAATCTTGCCACTCGATGTGCTTTCACCTGTTCGCTTACGTTCATGCGCGCTCCTGGCGCGAGAATAGAATGAAGCCCAATTTTGTTGACATTTGCGCCCTTGTTAATGCACATTTTAGCCAACGTCACGCCGACAGTCAATTGTTCCTGCGACTTGGACGTGGCAGCGCCATAGAGCGCGATGAAGAGTGGCGTGTACTCGTACGGAATGAGACCGACGCCGAAAATCTCTAGCAGTGGATTTCTACCGAATGCGTCTATATGCTCTGTACCGCATCTCTCCAAAAGTTCGACCGCAACGGCCAATGTCGTCTTCGCACGCGAGTTATGACGAAGTTCGAGCTCTTCTCGCGATAATCGTGGAGCCGAATCCCACTGTACAACCTCTCGATTATCCGCCTCTCCACACGCCTCTTGATCACCATGCTGACTCGGTGGACCGATCGCTTCCACTTCTTCGTATAACTTGTCCATATCGGTAGGACCGGGCGCGCCCGTGTCAGTTCCGAATTCGTCATCCGAAGGCCAGTGAGCCTGTTGTGCAAGCTCTGATGATCTGACACTGTCATCGTGAATGGTTTGTTCACGTCGCGTGATGCGTTTAACTTTGTTTGCGTTTTCGACGGCGCGAAGCGGAACGATTTGACCGCGCAGCATCATTTTTTCACGTTCTCGACGCATAGCTTCTTCAACCTCCGCCATGGCGAACTCTTCCTCCTTGTGGTCGACCGCTACGTATTCGTCTGACATAGAATCCGATTTCGTGGCATAAATGTTTTGATCGCTGCTCGTGACGCTGGTCGCCACCGGTGTGGCGATTGGCAAGTGCTTTGTTGTGTTGTTTACGGCTGCTCGCCTGATCTCATTCGTTCTTTGTTCGTTCTGAGCGCGAGTCAACTCAATGGCTCTTGACTCAATGGACGTGTGCGCAACAGCAACGGTTCGCGTGAGGCCTGGAATGCCTCGACGAGCGGCCAGATGTCTCGGCCCAAACCGTGAATGTTCCGGGCGTAGAACTCCTTGAACGAGTTTATACGTGTTTTCGTTCTCCGATCTATCCTGGCTGGATTCGTCGACGTTTTTATAGTGCACATCAGTGACCTTGTACTCGCGTCGATCATTTGGTCGCTCCAGGACCAACGAATTGAGAACCGCAGCTCTTCGCACAATATCTGGATTCGTGGCCGTTTCCTGTTCTTCAATCTTTGACTTTAGTGTACCTCTTTCTTTTCCTTTGACGAGTTCTTCATTGAGTCCTCTCTGAAGCAGAGTGTGCTCAGCAACGTTATCCAAAGCGTCGTCATTCCCCTCCGCAGGTTCCGCTGCCTGGTTCAATCTGAGTAAAACTTCGCCGACAGATATTCTGTTGTGATCCTCTTCCTCTTCCGGCGGTGAGAACGGCGTAGCGGCTTCTAAGGCTGACATCACTGCCAGAGCCACCAAGCTGCCTTCAGCCCATGAGTGATAGTTTTTCTCAATCATATACGTGACATCCGCTCCAAGAGAGATGAGAAGTCTCACGACTTTGAGCGCCTCTACGTGACCTTCTTTGGCGGCTGCTTCGATAGCCCAGAATAAAGGCGGGTACTCGCACTCGCCCGAGCGATCTGGTAGGGCAGGAAAAGGAGCGCCGAAATCAAAGTTTTTCATAGATCCAAACATGGACGATCGGACTGATTCAGTGTCCGCCTCGCTTCCCGCTCGTTGAATATCCTTAAGCTTTTTCACTTCATCAAAGATCTTCCCAAACTCGAGCGAGCGCAATTCACCGTCAGACAGATCTTCGTGAACGTCTGGATTCAAAAGGGCAAGATCCATAGATGGCTGACGCAAGCGATGCACAACTGAAGCGGCCTGTGCATTTTCCTCTGAGCGAGCAGACAGCAAGTTCGTCTCTGGTAGTTTGAAAAAAGTCACCGGTGGTGTTTGATAGTTTGAGAGTTTCATCGCCTCGATGTAAGCTTCTGGGATATGTTCGCTAAAAACTTCGATGCAGCACAAGTTTGGATCCGCACCCTTTTCGAGCAATAATTCGATCAATAGCTGAACACGCTCACGACTTGCTCTCCCAACACGCAACGCGTGAATGAGCTGAATCAGTGTTGTCGACTTGCTTCCGTCGGGAAATATCGCCTTGATGTCCACCACGACGTTGTAGTTTTTTAACAAGCCCTCCAATGCGTCCGCCGCTCCCTCGACGCCGTGATACAGAGCCAACGCCAGTGCGAAAATTGGCGGCGCAGAAATAGGATATGGACCCAGCCCCCTCGTGCTGACGTCAGCACCAGCCTTGACGAGAGCCTCCATTAGTGGAATCATCTCTGGAATACCTCTTGCAATGTAACCACATACTATGGAAAGTGGTGTTGCCGTCATTTCTGGACAAGTGTGCACATATTCGCGTGTGAGTGTCATTTTTACTTTTGGGTTGATGCCATTTTTCAACAACCGTTTTGCAAGATCGATGCAATCAAGTTGAGCCTGCCTCGGACGATTGAATAGCGTTTCGATGTCTTCCGCTGAATCTATGCCTAATTTCTTAGAAGCAACATCGATGAGCTCTTCTCCTCGTTCGATTATCTCAAAAGTAGCACGCTTGCATGCCTCTATGAGGCGTCGGCCGTTCTCCTCGCGCTCTGTTTGGGCTTTCGCCCGCGCGAGCTCCAATTCTTCGGGCGTCATACGAGATTCGTCTTGAAACACCCCCGAATTAGATTTCAACATTTCATCAGTATATCCAACCACAAAAGTGTTCCCGTCCTCGTCTTCATACATCGTCGCTCCCTTTGCATTGAGCGTCTCTTCGTTGTCGACTCCCTCGTCTGATTCAATGGCTATTTGTTCTTTCTCTTGATACTTCGCACGCTCTGCCTCCGCGATGGCTTGGGCTATCTCACGAGCTTTGGCGTCGTGATTTTCCTCTTGTGCTATCTCTGACGGCGATTTGACGTAAGTTTTCTTCGCCTTCTTCGTCTCCGCTTCCTCACGGCGTGCAGTCGCGCCTGCTCCATCGAAAGCGGCATCGTTGATTTCTGGAAGGAAAGACTCTACAGAATCGACATCTTCTTTCGTCACTCGATCCAAACCACTCATAGATCCTTCGGGCTTTGACATTTGCGATCCTAACATACTGCCCATATCTGACACGCTCGCCTTCAGAGCTGCAGATTCCCACCAATCCTTAGTGCTCATGTACCCCGTTGCGTTAAACGAAGCCGGGGCATCGATGGCATCGAGCACCATGGTAAGTAAGGGTAAAACTAGCCCGTGATGAGGCCGAGCTCCAACGATGACTTCGTTGACTCTGAACTTTCCAGACCTCTCCATGATGACGTCCATCAGCGCCACGGCGGATGCACCAACACCTTCCGCAATTGCGCACGCTAAAATGAAGATGGCTGGCCCTCGCAGCGAGGTTTGGCATTCGAACGGTGCTACTCTTCGCACGGCTAATTCATCGACGGTGAGTCTGTGCGTGAACGTCGATTCCACGTTAAGTTTGACGTCCGCGCAACACTGCACAATCAGACACCCGAGTCTTGCTATCCTACTTTTTCTTTCGTTGTCAAACTCGTACCCTATGCTCGCTTCGAGAGCGGCGCAACATACCGTCAACGGATTGAGAAATTTTCCACAGCATGCGTTTATACCTGGTCGCTCGCAATCCACGTTGGCTTCAGCTCCCTTGCTGATCAAGCGGGCCGCCAAGGTGAGCGCTTCGTCGCCCGCGCCCGATATCACCGCCAGTGCGCAGAAAAACAAAGGCGAGCCCTTGGTACCTGGCATGCCTTCGTACGGTGCGACGCGCCTATCCGCAACGAGGCTCGTCTCCGGTTTCGCCTCAAACATGCCGTTTGGATCCGCTCCAGCGGCAAGCAGCGCCGTGGCGAACTCGACGATGGCCTCCGCGCTCTGCTTCACCTCATCGTCGCGCTCGAGCACCATCTTTCGTATCTCCGCAACCTTTTGCGAGTACAGCTCGCCCTCGATTTTAACTCCCCCGTCACTTTCACTTCTATCGGCAGCTCTCATGAACTCTAAGTCGTCCAAACGCCTCCGCTGCGCTGGCGACACCATGCTTCGCTCGAGCATCATGCACAGCAGCGCTAACGGCGATATCCCTTTCCCGTGATTCGTTCTGTTCCCAACTCGATTGAGATCGATTTGGAACTTCACGCACCCCTCTAAGAGCTTCCTACAATCGCTCGCACTCGCACCCTCGCACACCGCGCACGTGGTCAACCAAATCGCGCTCCCGCTCGTCCCGTCCGACGTCACCCGCTGCTCTTCCAGCGCAAAGTTATCGATCGATCCATCTCGCAGCGCGTTCGTTTCATGTTCCGCCTGCGCCAACGCCAACTCCACCGTCTGAACCTTCTCCGCGCGCACGCGCTCCGCCACCTTCCCCGCGACGTGCACTCTTCGCGCGAACTCTCTCGCCACCGAATCGCTCGCGCTCTCGTCGCCGCGTCCATCCTCCGACCACCTCGCGCGCGCGCCGTCACCGTCGCCCCCCGCCTTGAACGACGTCTGCATTTTCACCGGCGTCGACCACTCCAGCGCGCGCTCGACGCGTCCTCGCGTCCACCGACGCCGTCGCCTTCGTCCCTCCCGTCACCGCGGGTGTTACGCCCTCGCGCCTCGGCGCGCTTCGCCGTCGCGTCCGCGCTTCACGCGATCCGGTGCGAGCGCGCCGTCGGCGTCTCGACGCCCTCGTCCTCGCGTCGCGTCCCGCACCGCTCGCGCGTCTCGCTCTCGCGCGGTGGTCGTCGCGAAAATGCATCCATGGCGCCCGCTCGCGGCTGTTGTGTACAATTTTTGTAATTTTTCATTGTTTTTCAAAACGCCGCACACGCCGACCGGTCGCGCGCGCGTCGGCGACGTCCCGGCATGGCGCGCGCGGACGACGACGAACGGGGACGAAAGCGACGGCGCGAGAGCGCGGGAGATGGGTTCGGCGTACGCGCGGAGCGCGAGTACGTGCCGGGCGCGGTGATGCGTGTTCGAATGAAAAACTTCATGACGCACGGTGACGTGACGTTCGAACCCGGACCGCGATTGAACGTCGTCGTGGGACCGAATGGCGTGGGGAAATCGGCGTTCGTGTGCGCGGTGTGCGTCGGACTGGGAGGGTCGACGAAACTGTTGGGACGCGCGGGATCGATTCAAGATTTCGTGAAGCGCGGGACGGAGAGCGCGTGGACGGAGATCACGCTGCGAGGGCGAGAGGTGGGGAAACCGATCGTAATCAGGCGGGATTTTAAGAATCGTGATGGTGGGGCGTCGAGATGGAAGATGAATGGGGTCGAGGTGAAGCACGAAGACGTGCAGAGGGAGATGAAGGCGCTGAATATGCAGCTCGACAACCTGTGCTCCTTCTTGCCGCAGGATCGCGTGTCGGCGTTTTCGATGCTCAATCCGCAGGAACTGTTGCAGGAGACGGAGAAAGCGATCGGAAACGCTGAGATGTACAAGCAACACGAGCAGTTGAAGGAGATGAAGGGTGGCATCGAGGGTTTGGAGCGGTCCGTGGATCAAAAGACGGCGCGATTGGAAAAGTTGAAACGCGAAAACGAACACTTGGAGCGAGATGTCCAGCGGTTTCAAGAGCGCGAAGCGCTCATCGCGGATGCGGATAAGATGGGTACGAAGATTCCTTGGCTCAAGTACAACAAGGCGTACGAGTCAATGGCGCACATCAAGAACGGGTACGACGCGATCAAGACCAAGTGCTCCGACGAGAAGCAAAAGCACAATGTGCTGTTTGCTGAATACCAGAGAATCGAGGGGCCGTTCAAAGAGATCACCGCTGAGATTGAACAAAGTCGTAGAGCGGTGAAAGCGGAGAAAATGAAACTGGAGAAGGCGGAGGCGCAAACGAACAAACTTGCGGGTGAGCACAACAATTTCAAGAGACAACTGTTTGAGGCGCGCAAAGACGCGAAAGCAGCCAAGACCAAGGTGGAGAATCGTCGTGCCGTCATCGCCAAGCTTGAGGCAAGCAAGGATCAGCTTCCAGAGGTGCCTGCAGATATCGACGAACGGCGTGAAGCGCTTAAGAGGGCCGCAAATGAGAAGCAACGAGAAATCGTTTACGCCGATGAGGCCCTACAAAACGCAAACATGGCGAAGCGTCCGATCCAACAGAAATGTCAATCACTGAAGGCTCAAAAGGAAGCGGTTGAGTCCGTGCGAGACCAAAAGCTGGAGAGTTTATCGAAACATCCCAATTTTAGACAAATCAAGGAGGCGGACGCATGGGTAAGAGAACACAAACCAACGTTCCACGGTGAAGTCCTCGGTCCGCTGCTCGCGGAAATGGAGGTCAGCGACCACACGCACCAAAACTACATCGAGCAGCATCTTGGTCCGCACGTTTTGGCGACGTACATCGTCACTGACGAGCGTGACGAGCGTGCCGTTAGCGAGCACATGAAACGATTCCGCATCAACGTGTGGACACGTCGAAGCTCTGAGCAGCACGTGCCTGGAGTGGTGAGCCCTGAACTGAGACAATCGGGCGTCATGACGACGCTGGATAACTTGTTCAAGGCGAAGAGCGTCGTGAAACAAGCGCTGAACGACACGCATCAGATTTGCAAGGTGTACGTCGGCGACAACAGGCTTGATTCAACGACGGCTGAACAGCTGTTCCATCGGAACCTCGCGACGCAGGTTTACTGTCCGAAGGGTGTTTACGTCGCGCGAAAGTCTCGTTACGCCTCTGGTACTTTCACTATGATTCAAAACGACATTAGGCAGAACAGATTGTTCGTACGTGAGTCGAGCGGAAACATTGAAGAATTGAAGAAGAAACTCGATGAAGCCATGCGGGAACTCGAGGCTTCCGAACAAAAGGTGATACGCCTCCAACAAGACAGCCACGAGAAGAAGCAAAAGGCCCAGGAGATCAGTAGACAGCGACAAGCTCTCAACAGTATGGCTCAGGAACCAGAACAGAGGCGAAGACAGATTGAAAGTCGAATCGCGCAGAACAAGGCTTTGATGGCTGAGGACGAGAAAGCGGCCGATGTGTCGACTCTGGAGAGAAAAATCGCTAAAGATCAGGAGGATAACGACAAGGAGCGAATCAGGTGGGCGATACAGATGTGCGACGCCGTCGAGGCGGAACACGCTGCTTCGAAAGAATTGACTCTCAAACTACTGCAGAGCATGGAGAAGCGAGTGCAAATGGAGGAAACAGAGAGTCGCCTGCGCGATATCGAGACAAGAATCGAATCTCTCAAGGCTCAACGCCAGGAGATCAAGGATAAATTCGCGACGGCGAAAAATAAGTGCCTTGTACTGAAGGGCGAGGCGGAGAGCGTGGTGACCCTTACGGACGAAGTGCACAAGATGTTTGAAGAATGGCCAGACACTGTGGAGGAGCTAGAGTTCGAGATTCAGAACCTGCGCGAACAAGCCGACGCGATTCTGTGCCACAATCCAACCGTGCTCGATGAGTTCAACAAGCGGCGAGCTGAAATGACGTCACTCACAAGAACGCTTGAGAGTGAAAAGGAAGAGCTCGCTATGAAGCAAAAGGGCATCGACGACGTCAAGCGCCAGTGGCTGCCGCAGCTGAAGGAGAAGATCCAAAAGATAAGCGATGAATTTCAGAGCAACTTTGCGCGTATTGGCTGCGCCGGTCAGGTCACCTTGGCGGGCGACGGCTCTCGTGAGCACGACGGAGGATTTGGCGACGATTTCAGAGAGTACTCGCTCGAGATTCGAGTCAAGTTCCGGCCGAACGAAGACATGCACTTGCTCGACGCACACCGCCAGTCAGGTGGCGAGCGATCGGTGACGACAATGTTGTATATGATTGCGTTGCAGGCGCACACTTCAGCTCCGTTCCGTGTGGTGGATGAGATCAACCAAGGCATGGATGCGCGAAACGAACGCAAGGTGTTCAAACGCATGGTCGAGGCGGCGAGCATCCCGGGTACGCCCCAGTGCTTCGTTGTCACGCCTAAATTACTCACGCAGTTAGAATATAGCGAGGATTGCACAGTGATGTGTATTTTCAACGGCCCTTACGTGCATGAGATGGCGACGAAGTGGACGGAGATGCAGAGAGCTTTCAACGGCGTCGAGCAACAGGCACTGTTGGCGTAGTCACCCATCCGTCAGTGGCTGTGATGGCTATCTATTCTGCGCAAGCTATAAAGAAAAGATTACGAACTACCCGTACGCGCGCTGTTGCAATGTTCAAACATAGTTTCACGAAGCGAAAGTGTCCACTGTTGCTTCAAGCTGTCGCACGTGTGAGTGAGTGAAAGGCTGAGTTTCTCGCGTGGGCACAACGAAGAAGATTCACGAGAGAAATTCGCGTTGATACGATGATCTAAGTTAAACTGCTAGCAAAACTACTACTATGGTACGCTTATTGTAACATTCAGAGGTGCCGTTTGAAGGCGTCAAAGGACACCGACGCCTCTTCGTCCCATCATCAAGCGTTTAACCGCCGAAGCCGTAGAGGGTGCGGCCTTGGCGCTTGAGCGCGTAGACGACATCCATGGCGGTGACCGTCTTTCTGCGAGCGTGCTCGGTGTAGGTCACGGCATCACGGATGACGTTCTCGAGGAACACCTTGAGGACGCCTCGGGTCTCTTCGTAGATGAGACCAGAGATGCGCTTGACACCACCACGGCGAGCCAAGCGTCGGATCGCCGGCTTCGTGATGCCTTGAATGTTGTCGCGAAGGACCTTGCGGTGACGCTTGGCGCCGCCCTTTCCGAGACCCTTACCACCTTTACCACGGCCAGACATTGTTTAGTATTCGAACGTGTCGATTTGTGACGACATCGTGCGGCCGCGCTGGTGACTTGACGCAAGCGCGGTGAGTTCGCGGTGAGACTAAATGTCGGTTCACGACTCGTCATTGGATCTTAATGATTGTTTTGCAACGAACAATCAATCACATGCACTGATTGTTTGTGCTTTTACAATCATTGTTCATGAAATACGAGTCATGAATCGAGAATAGTCACATCGATGAACTCACCGCGAACTCACCGCGCTTGCGTCAAGTCACCAGCGCGGCTGCCCGATGTCGCCACAAATCGACACGTTCGAATACTAAACAATGTCTGGCCGTGGTAAAGGTGGTAAGGGTCTCGGAAAGGGCGGCGCCAAGCGTCACCGCAAGGTCCTTCGCGACAACATTCAAGGCATCACGAAGCCGGCGATCCGACGCTTGGCTCGCCGTGGTGGTGTCAAGCGCATCTCTGGTCTCATCTACGAAGAGACCCGAGGCGTCCTCAAGGTGTTCCTCGAGAACGTCATCCGTGATGCCGTGACCTACACCGAGCACGCTCGCAGAAAGACGGTCACCGCCATGGATGTCGTCTACGCGCTCAAGCGCCAAGGCCGCACCCTCTACGGCTTCGGCGGTTAAATATTCATTGTTTAACCACTCCCCGAAACGTTCAAAAAAATCAAAAAAAATCAACCATTGTCTTAAAGAGACGCGGTTGCTCAACCAAACATGGTGTTCATTTAACACCACCACTTCAGAAAAGATTTTCTTCTTTCGTCTCGTCGTTTTTAACACTTCGTAACGAATCGTTCGCACGCGTCAAGATCCAAGGATCCCGTTGCCCGTAGAGGGGAGTCAAAGCTCCAGTGTAATGATAACGAAGCAACCCACTCTCGGTCAACGCGCACGCCGCACACCATGGTGATCGTGCGCGAAGCGACGACCACGCCTTCGATCGTATCGTCTTCGACCGACGTCGCGGATGACGTCCGGACGATCGCCGCCGCGCACGTCGCGTCTTGCGACCGCCCACATCGCGTGCTGGCAAACGTCGGTTCGTCTTCGTGGCGAGAAGTTCGACGAGCGACGCGGCGCATTCGCGACGCGGCGCACGCCGAGGCGGTGTCGAACGCGATTGGGCGCGATGAACACTTCGTTTTGTCGACCATCTCGGGCTCAGACGTCCTCAGCGAAGCGCTGACGATGGAGCTCTTGCGAGCGGAGGCGTGGCGCGCGGACGTGCTCCCGCGCGCCATGCGCAGAGCTCCAGAGACATTCGCAACGAATCCGGTCTTGGTGTACGCGGTGTACCTAGCACTTCACCAGGAGTGCGTCATGTGTAATATTTTGAGCTCGTTGTGCACGAGTCGAGGGAATGGGCGAAGAGTGTGACCGACGACGTCGCCGCCGAGTTGTGCGATTACTGTCAACGAGCATTGGCCCGACTCGCAGGCGACACGCCGGCGTTGCTCGACGCAGATACCGATTCCTTGGAGTTCCGGATTCGTGAGATCGAGTTCGTACTCTCGATGTCCGCTCTGGGCGTGTTGAGAGGGATAACAGAAGCGATGGATGACTTGGCACTGAGCGTGCGTTCACGTTTGTTGGACTCAAGAGATGTCTCCAGCGCGCTCGTTACAATCCTTGATACCAGACCGTGGACGCGACGCCGACGCGACGGCGTTCTACAGCTGTACGTCGACGGCGTGTGGCGCGAAGTCTCCAAGTCCGAGGAGTGGGACGTCGCGTGTCGTGTCTCAAAGTGCGAGGCACAGGCGTGGTTGGCGCTCCGGGCGTTGATGTGTGACGCTCAATTTTCGTGGGATGACAGGCGCGTGGCTGCAGCGACGAAGCTCCGACGACGGCTGAACGAGTCGACAATCGACCAGATTCCCGTACTGATGGAATTAGCGTCGATAATCGATCGAGCGGCGGGTTTGGACGCGCCACCGCCGGCGAACGCGCGTGGGTTCGTCCTGGAAGTCATCCCGAGCCTGCGTGCTCGAGTCATAGCCGGCGGTTCAGAGCTCTTCGAAGACGCTGCGAAGAAAATGCTGGAGGAGCATTTCAACCCGAACGATAGTGATTTTGCGACAAGGGTGGCCGAAGAAGCGATCGACATCGCGAGTGGAGTCTCGAACGAGGAAGCTCCGATCGAGGACATCACAGCTCACACGCGCTCTGTCGTGCGAATAGACGTCCTGCGAGAGCGCCGAAGTCTGAGCTCGTCTGAAGTATCCTTCGATGCCATCCTCGCCATCGAGTGCTATTTCACCGACGACGAACCGAGTGAGGTTCATACGAAGACGTCTAAAACCCGTGCTCTCCGGCGCAGACTCCGCTTCGACGATGATGCTCGCAACACGTCGCTCTCGCCGTTCGACGGAAAGATTCGAGTCGCCATGGACGCGCGAACGGTCGCGGCGCCGGTTCGTCTCCGGGCCGGGCCTGATCCGCGCGCCTGGATCACCGTCGGCTCGGTTCAAATCGATGGTTTCGCGCTTCAACTTCGTCTCGACGCCGATCGCGATCGATCGTCCGCGGCTTACAGAGTCGCCGACGCGTACATATCCATAGCCGCCCCGCGATGAGCTCAGGCGCAGCCGTCGCGGATCTGGCGTTCATGTCCGCACACCGACGCGCGCCCGCGCCGCGTTCGTCCATCTCACGTCGACGATGGCGATCAAGGCGACGACGAAGGTCGCGGTCGCCCTCCTGGCTATCTCCGCCGTCTCCGCGAACGGCGTCGAGGCGAAGAAGGGCGGGAAGAAGGACGCTTCCAAAACCATCCCTCGCGCGGTCGCGTCCGATGTGAAATACATCGAGTGCGAGACGTGTGAGCTGTTGGTAAACGCGGCGGTGAAGGAGTACAAGACACAGTACGCCGAAGTCGGCTCGAAGAAGCTCAGGGAAACGGACGTGATCGAGAAGATGGAGAAGATGTGCGACGTCGCGAGCAAGGAGGGCGACTGGATCATCACCAAGGACCTGCAAGAAAAGGGCTCGAAGCTTCGCTTGGTGGACATGGGCGCCGAGAACTACGGCGAGTGCCGAACGGAGTGTAAGACGATCGTCAAGGCCTGCGAGAAGATCCTCGGACCGAGGGACACGGACGTCGGAGAGTACCTGTTCGTGAGCGACGGCGACGTGGACGCCAAGGCGTTTAGAAAGTGGTTGTGCGAGGAGGAGACGACCTCGTGCGCCAAGGCGCCGCCGCCGCTGCCGAAAGATCGCCCGAAGGGTGAGGCTTTTAAAAAGCGAGACAAGAAAGACGTGGAAATGGAGCGATTGATGGCTGGTATGAAGGGAATGCCGGGCATGGGCGGAGCGCAAATGTTCAGCCGAGACCAAATGATGGGGGGTTTCGGCGGTGGTGATGACGATGACGACGATGATGAGAATCCATACGGTAAATTTGATCCGTCCTCGCTCGGCGGTGGCGATGATTCACTCAAGGGTCGAGTCACCGAGAAGTTGGGTGACATCAAGAGCGCCGCTACGTCAACGGCGAAGAACGCTTGGAACAAGGCCAAGAGCCTGTTCAGCAAGACCGCTGAGGACGCCGTTGAAGACGTGGAGTTCCCGGAAGAGGAACTCGCGAAGGAAGAGCTGTGATGATGCTCGAATTTTTAATATACGAAATATTCCCATTACACCCTCAACTATAGTGCTGATCGCTCTTCGCGCTCGGCCACTTCTCTAAAATTCACTCTCGCTATCGGAATCGCCGTTTTCAGACTCTTCGGCTGAGTCTAGGTTTTGTTTGTACATCAGAATTTCGCTCTCCGGACGCGGCGGCGCCACGTTGAATCCTTTAACTTCCTGGGGAGTCGTGTACGAGCGCATGTTGCCAGTTCCGAGCTGGCCCCAGTCACCGCGGCCCCACGTGTACAGGCTGTTTGAACCGTCCGTGTTCTCCACCATCGCACCAGTGTGGTTGTGTCCGGAAGCGACAGTGATCACACGCTTTCCCCGCAAAGCCTCGACGCGCGTGAACACAAACGTCGATTTCTTGTCGCCGTGTCCGAGCTGCCCGTACGAGTTCTCACCCGTGGTGAACACGCCACCGCACGCCGTGAGACAGCACGAATGCGTCGCACCGGCGGCGGCGACCGCGACGCGGCATCGCGGACCGCATGAGCATTGTTGAACTCGATTCTGATCCACCGATCCGTCCGCGCGCCGGACGAAATGATGAATATTCACTGCCTCGGGCGTCAGTCGGTTTCCGCACGCGCTCGTGGGCGGCCCAATGGTGAGGAAAGGATTCTTTCCAACGCCAAGCGCGCCGTGCTTACCGCGTCCGCACACAAACATGCGTCCACCTGCAGTGACGAAGATAGAATGCGCACCTCCCGCAGAGACGCTCGCCACGGGCTCATCCATATCGTTCAAAGATTCAACGAGGCACGGCCACGGAACGCCGTTGTTCCAGCCCGCAGCGGCGGCAAAGGTAAGGTCACCCAAACCGAGTTGACCATATCGACAGTCTCCCCAAGCCCAGACGTTGCCATCAGAGGTGATGCAAACGCTGTGTGAACCACCACACACCGCACTTACGACATGCATTCCTTTCAAGGCTTCAACGCGGCTGAACGGAGCGGCGTCACGAAACGTGCCGTGTCCGAGCTGCCCGTGGCGACCGCGGCCACACGCGAACAGTCGGCCAAACTCATCGATGGCCATCGTATGATTGGATCCGGTGGTTACTTGCGTGATTTTGGTGCAGATATCGATACCAACGAACACTCTTCTTGGCACGTTGACCTCGATCGGCGTGTTGCCCGTGTATCCGAGCTCGCCTGAGCTGGCCAGTCCCCAAGAGATGACGCCACCGTCTCTGCTTAAGGCGACACAGTGCGAACCACCGAGAGCGATGGAGTCGACGCCTTCGAAATGTTCATCGTCTGAATCATGCCCACGCGCTAATTCGTCTCCCATTCGCACGAACGCGGGCGCTGCGTGGTTATCGTACGATCCCAAACCGAGCTGTCCGTGAAAGCCGCGTCCGAATGTGGCTATCGTCGTTCCCACTTTGTCCCCCTCGGCGTCCGTCACCACGCATGCGGTGTGGAACTGCCCGAGCGAGACGTTCGCGCTCGCTCGCTCCGCCTGTTCGCTCACGGTGCAGTGATGCCACGCCTTTAAGTACGAATCTCTCTTCGTGAGCACCAACGCGTCCGCGCGAGGCACGCGCTCCAGCCGCGCCGCAGCCACGCGCTCGATGATCCCGCTCGCGTTGAAGTACGCGCACGTAGCCCCCACCACCGCAAGATCTCGCGCCTGGAGATTTAATAACACCAGCTCCAGAACCTCGGTCGGCAGCTCACTCAGCACCCCCAAATCCCACTCGCTCGCCGGCGGTCTCGCGCGCGCGCGCTTGCTCTCCTTCCCTCTCGCGCTCGTCCATCGCGTCTCCACGCTCGCTCGCCGCTTCTGTCCGATCTCCGGCGACCGCGGCGGCAAGGAACTGAGATTAGATTTACGTTCGACCATCTCCATCCCGCTCGACATCGTTCCGAACGCCAATCGCGCGTCGACGGCGTCGTTCGTCGTCATCGATTCTCTTCGCGCGAGCCGTTCCCCCGCCGTCGGATGTTCACTCATCTCGGGCGTGTGCGCGCGACGGTGCGATCGCGTGGACGTGAAACCGATCGTACACGGCGAAGAATTAAATGTTTCAACCTCTCGAGGGCGCTCGAGAGCGCGACGCGCCTCGGAAGTCGCTCGAAGACGACGCGAAGTGCGGGGAAGGAATCATCGAACGGGAACGAACAAAACGACGTTTGAGTTCACCATCTGGGACATTTGTGAAGCGAATAGGGGGCGCGCGCGAAGGGGCGACGACGCGTCGCTCGATGATCGAATCGCCTCTACGACGGTCATCGTGGGCTAAAGATTAGATATTGCATCAAAACGTCGATAGATTGCGATCGAGCTCGTCGTCCTCTCCTAGTGGCGGAAGTGGCGGTGACCGGTGGTGACGAGGGCGACGCCGTACTTGTTGCACACGTCAATGGCGTCTTGGTCACGCATGGAGCCACCGGGGTGGGCGATCGCCTTCACGCCAGCTTGGCACGCGATCTCCACGGAGTCGCCCCAGGCGAACGGGAAGAAGGCGTCGGAGGCGAGGACAGAGCCCTCCGTCTCGTCGCCCGCCTTTTCAAGAGCGATGCGCACCGAGTTCACGCGGTTGGGTTGACCAGAGCCCATGCCGAGAAGTCGCCCCTTGGTGGCGACGGTAATGGCATTGGACTTGACGTGCTTGACCGCGCGCCAGGCGAACTTGAGCGCCTCGAGTTGCTCCGGCGTCGGCTTGACGTCGGAGACGGGCTCAAAGACGATGTCCTCGGGAACGAGCGAGTCCGAGGCTTGTTCGAGCCAGCCACCGCCGACTTGACGCAAGCTCTTCGTCGCGCCCGATCGCGGCTTGGTCTCTAAGATGCGCAGAGTCTTGGACTTACCCTTTAACACTTCCAAGCCCTCCGGAGTGTAGGACGGGGCGATGACGATTTCATAGAACATGCGCGTCTCGCCATCCGTCGGCGAACGGAACTCACGAATCTCGCGCGCCATGTCCGCATCGACGGTGCAGTTGAAAGCGACGATACCACCAAAGGCCGAGATCGGGTCGGCGCGAACAGCCATGCGGTAGGCTTCGAGGAGATCGCCGCCAGCGCCGCTGGCGCTGGCAATGCCGCACGGGTTTGTGTGCTTGACGATCACACACGTCGGGTCGCTCGTCGGGTAATCGCAGGCGCACCCGTACGCGGCATCGGCGTCGAGGTAGTTGTTGTAGCTCATCTCCTTACCGTGGTGCTGAATCGAGCGCGCGACACCCTCGCCTGCGGCTTCCGCGAGAGAGCCGTCGGCGTACACGGCAGCCGGCTGATGCGGGTTCTCGCCGTAACGAAGCGCCGCGGTGAGCGTCATCGGCACCGAAAGCTCCGGTGCGGGAGCACCACCGCCGATTTGGCTCCAAAGATACTCCGCGACGACGGAGTCGTACGAAGCGCAGTGTTGGAAAGCCTTCCAAGCCAACTCTCGCTTGAACTTCAAGTCGTCCTCCGCGCTCGGCGAACTCTTCAAGTGCTCGATCAACTTGTCGTAATCGCTCGGATCAACGACGACGTACACGTGCGGATGGTTCTTCGCCGCCGCGCGAATCATCGCAGGTCCGCCGATGTCGATGTTCTCCACGCACTTGGCGAAATCGCCTCCTCCCGCGACGGTTTCGCGAAACGGGTACAGGTTCACCGCCACGATGTCGATGGTATCGATCCCGTGCTTCGCGATCGCCTCCATGTGCGACGCATCCTCACGTTTGGCCAGAATCCCTCCGTGCACCCCCGGATGCAACGTCTTCACCCGTCCATCCAGCATCTCTGGAAACCCGGTGACGCGATCGACGCTCGTCACCGCCGTGCCGCTCTTCTCGATCGCGCTCGCGCTCCCCCCCGTGCTCACGATCTCGTACCCGAGCGCCGCTAACCCACCCGCGAGTTCCGTCATCTTCGTCTTATCGCTCACGGAGACCAACGCGCGTTTACTCGCCTCGACGACCACGCGCGCGCGCCGCGCCCGCGTTCGCGTCGCCGCGCGATCCGTCCCGAACGTCCGCGTCCACGTCGACGCCCGCGCGGTGGGCATCACCATCGTCGCTCGCATCGCCACGCGTCCACCGTCGCCCGCGACGCGCGCGTGGACGTCCGCGGACGCGCGCGCGGGGGCCGCCCGGGCGCGCGGCGGCGGCGCGCCCGTCGCGCGGGCGGCGCTTTTTTGAAATCCACGCGTCAACCCTACCGTACGCGTGGTGTCGTTCGTATCATCGTCGACTCGACGCGCGACGTGGTCGTATACTAATGCGCGCGTCGCCCGTGATGGGGCACATCGGACGCCCCGTCGCGCCCGCGTATTCGATGCGTGAGAACACGTGGAGGACGCACGCGCGGACTGTTCGCCCACGCGCGAAGAGCACTCACGTGCGCGCCGCGGAGATATTTCCCACCGGCGACGACGCCGACGCGCGGCGGCGGCGACGGAGGTCGCGACGCGCGCGAGGGTGGACCCCGCGGGCGACGCGCGCGGTGACGGC